ACTTCTCACAAGGGTGTGTAGTGATGGACGAGGGAGGATGACCTTAAGCTTAGGGAGGGTAAGTTTAAATTTGATATTAGGAAGGAATTCTTTGCTGTGAGGGTGGTGAGACACTGGAAGAGGATGCCCAGAAAAGCTGTGGATGAGCTATCCCTGGAAGTGTTCAAGGCCAGGTTAAATGGGTCATTAAGAAATGTGGTCTAGAAGGGAGATGTCCCTGCACCCACAGCAAGGGTGTTGGAACTGGGTGATTTTTTAAGGTTCCTTCCAACCAAATCATCCTATGATAGTGCAGCCCCATCTGATGCTGCAGCTGAAGTGGTGTGAGGAAAAGGGATCGTTAATCTGCCAGCACTGTTGGTTTTGTGTCCTGCTGCCATTGCAGGGTCCCTGTCTGCATGCACGGCAGGCCCCCTCAAGGCACATGAAATCAAGGTGGGCATCCTTATCCTCACCCTGCTGCCCTGCCTGCACTTTGTCTTCCAGTTCTGGAGATAGGTGTTTGTGGCTGCATTTCTCTTCACAGAGAAAAGCAAGGCACAACTTCCCAAGGATATTTCTGGAAATCGCAGTGAGGAACCTCAGAGAAAGAAAAAACAATTCTTACCTCAATTGCTGCTCCTCTTGTTCACAAGTGGGGAATGTATTGTAGATTATTTACCTGAAGGGAATTAGTAATTGGATTCTGGTGTGAGTGTTTTGATTCACTGACCAACCGAAACCAGGTGTGTGTGTTGGGACTGTCAGCTGGCAGCCACAAGATTCTGGGCAGTTGAGTGCAGTTGAATGCTTGTGCAGATTCAGTTTAGATGTAGTGTAATGTAGACAATAGAATAATATAGTATGTATATAATGTAATATATATAATAGAATAATATAGTATAAATAAAGTAATTATTTAGCTTTCTGATATCCATGGAGTCAGATGCATCATTTCTCCCCTTCATTGGGGATTGCCCTGCTTTTACTATAGGTGTTTCCTTCCACCATGCAGCTTGTATGATCCTCACCCCTTTTCCTAAGCAGAGCTGTGCAAACAGGACCCTTTCTTGCCTTTTCTCATTTTATCTGTCCCAGGTAGGTGTTGTGGGTCATAGACTGACTGTGCAATTCCACAGCATTCAGCAGTGAGAGGGGTCAAGGGAGCTGCAGTGCTCTTGATTGATACTGAGGACAGGGTTGCTTCTTTCAAAATAATTTTGCAGAGGCATTTCTAGGAAGGGGCATTTGTGGGATGGTGTATTTTTAGAGAATTTTACTGCGTCCCTCAGGTGTATATGTAGTGCTCCATTTGCTGCAGCATAGAAGAGAGGTGGAGTTGGATATAGCTCTATGTTCTCACTAGGTTCCATTTGTTAGGGAACCTCTGGAGTCACAGCATGAATGCTGATCCCAGATGATTTAATCAGGAGCTGCTCTTAACTCCAGCAGCTGTTTTGTGCAGGAAACATTTCAAGAGAGAAGAAACTCACTTCTGAGGCTTAGCCAGTGAAAACAAGTGAGTTGCTACAAATGGGCACACCACCATAGAAGTTAGTGCTGTTTCTCACAATTGGAACTGGATCCTTGCGTCCTTTTTCTGCAGTGCTCCCTCAAATCACATTGTTGCTGGAATCAGGATATATCAATATGTGCATATATTTTTTTTCCTAGCGGGACTGCTTTACGGCAATGAAGGGTCAGTCATGCCATTTATTCAGGCTATCTCCAATTTAGACTGACACACAAGCAGTTGCATGCTGATGTTAGCAGCAAGTGGGCTTTGAATATCCAGTAGACCTTAAAATAGTGGAAAGAGCACAAAATGTCCTGGGGAGCTGTTGGATGCAAATAAAATTATAGCAATAATAATGTGTGTATCCCCTGCACTTGATGGATGCGTGGACATGCTGCCCCATCTGCTGGGCTCTGCTGCAGGAGTGCCACCACAGCAAAGGTTGCTGTTGTCGCAGGGAGGAGAGCACTGTCACAGCTGAGGAGGAGGAGGCTCACAAAGGTGTGTGTGAGGGGTGCCCTGCAGTTCTCACACATTATATCAGGCAGAGCCCAGCTGTATTGGAAGTAAAACACCCCAAAATGTAGAAATAGTGTAACTGTCAGCATGGCACAGGGGGAGGGAAGCTGTGCAAAGCACCCCAATTTCTGTCCTTGGTGTTTTATGTGTTAAGGACATTTTGCTGCAGCCTGTGGTGCTCCTGCCATCCCTGCTCTCAGTGATGGGTCATGGCAGCACTTCCTGACCCTCGGGGTTTGCTGGGTGGCTTTGCCCTGCAGCCAGGAGTCCTTGCCTTGGGAGGGAGGCACAGCCTGGGATCACCCCCTGCACAGCTGCTCCTGTGCTCTGGGTGCAGCTGTTCATTGCCAGCTGCGTCTGGGGTTCAGCTCAGAGCTTGCAGCACCCCAGGGCAGGGCATGTGGGGAGCCTCAACACCACCTGTTTGCTGTGACAGTGTCCCTGAAGCCAGGCCAGCTCTGAGACAAAACCTCCAGGTACAGCTCTTACAGCAAAACAATAACAGTCCCTTCTTCCCAAGCTAAGAAGGCAAGGCCTGGGCATTGTTTTAGAGAAATGTAGGAAGAAAAAAAAAGAAAATAGTTGTATTTATTTTCAATAACTCATTCAGGTTGAACGGGTAAGTAGTTTTACAGTGCTGATTTATGGGCTGTTGCAAAATGCAAGAGCTGCTCAGGATTGCAAATTTCATTGATCTTGACTCCAAGAATTTCAGTACAGTAATGTTTTATATAGTTTCTTCTCTCCCCAGTCCTACCATTTGAAGTAATAAGGATGATTTGCCTTTATGCAGCCCAAGAGGAGACGCAAGTCAATGCTGGGAAGAGAACCTGGGCATCCTGATTTACAGAGCCAGGTCTGCTCCTTTCAGAGGGGAAGCCTTTCTTTACAGAAAAAAAATGCCCCGTCTCCATGAGTAACAGTCCCTGCTATATCCTGCAGTTAGCAGGCAGTCTCTGCAGGCTCATTTGTCTCATTGCCACTCTAAGGACACTTGACCATGCCTGGTTCATGGCCCCACCAGCATAAAGCAGCCTGCTGGTTCCAGTTTGCCCTGATCAGGGTGTGATGGGTCATTATGCTCCTTCCTTGTCAGGGTGTGAGGCTTCCAACAGTGGTTTGGTCTTTGAAAAGGAGCCTCAGCACTGCCTGTGGTAGCAGCTATAGTGTGTGATACTTTTGAAAGATCTCTATGTTTTTAGATGATGAACACTCTCCAGATATTTGGGGTTGGGGTTCTTCTGAACAAATGCTTGTGTTCTGGGTAGCTTCACCACCTTTTCCTAGCCCAATTCATTCTCTTCCTCCAGAAGTAGCACTCTGTCATATGGGTGTTTGGCATACTGCAGGAGGAGCAGTGCAGCGTGCATTTACATTTATGTGTAAACCCGCCAGAAAACATTTCTATTCTTACTGGCCCAGATTCCTCCTGCCCATGACTAACCATTGCTGAGCCACAGGAGTTAGCATCACTGCCTTTAAGTGCTTCAGGCTGTCTTCTCAAAGGTTTATCTCTGCTTTTTTTAATTAAGTATGAATTTGGGGGCAAGCTACATCCCACTGTCTATTTAGGGAAGAATAAATGCCAGAAATCCTGCTTTGGGCCTGTGAAGTCAGTTCAGAAGAATTCAGAAGAATTGGGCTCAAAGAGCATATTGTATTCTGTTTCTCCTCTCAGTCTGAGTTCTTCTAATATCTACAAATGGGAGAGGCTTTGCAGTGTCGTCTCTGGTGAGCCTGTGTGTGATGTGCTGAGACACTGCTCCCAAGGACTGCTGCAGGCAGCACACCCCTCTCCTGTTTGACTCATTTTGGGCTCTCAGACGTCAGGCTGCCCTAGCAAATGCCTCCCAGCAGCTCCAAGAGAGGCACTGGGAAGTGTGCCACGCTGTGCTGTGCCTTGTCAGCGTGGGGAGCAGGAGGTGCAGTGACAGCAGCCTCCCCGTGTGTCTCAGTTGGCTCTGACAGCGCAGGTTGCTCCCAGGTTTGCTGACACCCTGGCACTGTGCTTTGCTTGCACTCAGTCCCTGCCTGCCTGTGCATCCTGATGGGTAGGAGGAATGGAGTGGAGAGGAGTCCTTGGAAGAGAAATGGGTTTGGACTGTGCTTTTTGTGGTGAAATTGTTTGCTAATGACAAGAATATTTTTTAAAAGAAAGTAATTAAAGAAAAAAGCTGTATACAGCTTTGTCTCATGCTGGCTGTTTTCTGTGTCAGTCCAAGTCTGCTGTGAGCCACACTGAGCCACTGGCTGTTGTTGAGCTGTGCTTGGGGTTTGCACCTGAGCACTGCGGGGGAATACAAGATAACCTGCTGCTACCTGTTCCTTACTGTTCCTTCTGCCCCCTAGGGTCCAGTACTAAACTTCACTATCAACAGTCTTTCTCTGTCACTTAATACTGCTTGTACTCATTGTGTATCCTGGTGTGCACAGCTGTCACACGAATCCATCACAGGCAAGACAGTCCTCACTTCTGCAACCCACAGTCCAGCTTCTTCTGGCAGGGAACATGACCCACAGCTCTAAGGGGAGATTGATGTTTGATTTCTTTTTTTTTTCCTCCTATTTCAGCACATCTATTTCCATCTTCCCTATCATTGTGTGTGGATGCACACACACCTCTGGCATTGTTGTCATCCAAATTTTGTCTTCCTACATAAGACTTTTGTGGTAAATTTTCTTGGAGCTCTGTAGGAAGCCTAGTTTTATGCAGGAATATCCTATTCTATTGTCCTGATGAGAGATAAATAGCTTGGCATAAACGTAGGAGGTGTACAAATGAAAACAGAAGTTTCCAGGTTCTTTAGAAATGAACTCAATGTTCTTGCTCTGTTTTATAAAAGCTCAGTTTGCTTTCATTGAGAACACTACAATTTTGTCTCTGATTTTAATGGGGACAGAACCAAGGGCTGTGGGGAGCACGGGCAGAGCTGTTTTCCCCCTGCAGACTTGCAAGCCTAAGGCGCCTTGTTCTTCCTGGCCGCAGAGCGCTGCGATGACTGGGGTGTGGACACCATGAAGCAGATCCAGATTTATGATGGGGAACCTGCCAAGATCAAATGCCCACTTTTTGAGACCTTCTTGAAGTACAATTACAGCACAGCCCATTCTGCTGGCCTAACCCTGATCTGGTACCGGATCGCGCAGGACCGGGATCTGGAGGAGCCCATTAATTATCGTCTCCCTGACAATCACATCAGTAAGGACAAAGACACCCTTTGGTTCTGGCCTGCACTTCTCAATGACACTGGGAATTACACCTGCATGCTCAGGTAGGTCGTGTGGTGTGGTTTCTGTACATCTTCAGTACAATCAAAGGACTTTTGTGGAGGTGGGGAAACGATGCTGTTAGCACCAGAACTTCCTGTGGGGAGACTACCATTTACAAAAGCATTAATGGGAAAAGAATGTTGCAATTATAGGACTGCTCAGTGCTGAGCCAATTTACATGGCAATAATGCTTGGAGCCTTGCAGACACTAATGAGCGTGCCTCTCCTTGCTGCAAGTGTCCGTGAAAATATTATTGCTGAGCCCATGGCAAAATCCACAGGCACTCACCATTAAGAAGTGATCTGCATGTCTAGAGTAAAAATAGCTTCAGATGCAGGGGTAATGTTTTGACTGCACGCTAATTTGGCAAAGATTCATGAGATTCAGACTTCTAGGAAATTAAAAGTGTCTCTAACTGTGGTGCAGAATGAACGTAGCATCTGCTATGTGTAAGAGCTCTTTTTGGTCTTCCTCACGTCGTCTTTTGTCTGTGTCTTTGACCTTATGATCTGCTTTAGCAGCAGGAGAGTAAATGTTGCTTGTTAGTCATCTTTATAGGCTTTTGTGAGCTTGTGTGGCCACCTCTGGTAGGGTTTTCTTTCCCATTTACAAATGAGTCAGCTAAGGCTGTACGTACCTGATCAGCCCTATGATGCTTGTTATTGCAGATGTAATTTTTATTTCATTCCATTCCACTGCTGTAGGAATAAACAAGTTTCAACTAATCAGCCCTGTTCTTGCCCACCCGTAGGAACACAACCTACTGCAGCAAAGTTGCTTTTCCCTTGGAAGTTGTTCCAAAAGACCAGAACTCTTGTGTGAGCCATTCCATAAAACCCACTGAGGAGATGTTCTACTTGGAGCATGCCAATCAGAAGATCACATGCCCAGATATCGATGGGTTTTACCCTGCCAGTGTGACACCAACTGTCAAGTGGTACCTGGTAAGAAGAACTTGCTTGGGCAGCAGGGAGATGCAGTGGTGTGTGTGAAAAATCACTGGTTGGCATGGCAGTCATGGAACTGCATTTCAGAGTCTCCCCAGTGATGATACTGTTAATGAAGCTTTACTAATTTTAAGAGCTCTGCTTCCATTTGGTTCAAGGGTAAAACTGCTCTTGGAAAGAAATTGAGAGCTAACACTGAAGCTTTTTTGACCAGTGTGCACAAGTGAAAAATACTCCTAGCAGGGATTTAGGTGGCTGAATTCAATTATGGGCAGTGTGACTGACCTGCTGTGTGAGAGCCTCTCACTTTACTGTAAAGGAAACTGTCATTCATATTCCCTCTTTTTCAAAAAACCCCACCTGTTAATGAAAATTGCATCCTTTCTAAAATCCTCTGAGGTCAGGAAGTGAAGTAGTACATCAGGCTGTGCAAGACAATGGGTGTCCTGTTTGACACAATTCAGCAAACCTCTTTTCTGAAGACTGATACATCTCTACCCCACCCTCCATACTCTTCTGATTATTAGACTGTCTCCAGCCATCCTCAGGCTCTTGCCTACAGAATTACTGCTCAATTTTCTTAAATTAGATTTCACTCTTTCTCTCTAGGTGGATGCCTTTAGTCAGTGGAGAATAAGAAGTCTCAGGGGATGTAGAGTCTGAGAGTTATGGGAATAAGTTCTTCAATAACATTCTATAAAGTACTTTTATATTTCTAGACAGAAGATTTTGTATAAATGAATTTATTAATAATAAGGGAAATTGTAAACAAATGTATCTGCTGATTTAAAAAAGAAATTAAAAAGACCCAAAAGAAAAACCCCACCTCTAAAACTGTACAGGAAAAACTTCCTCAAGAGGAGCCATTTCACTCCAGTAGTGAATGCTTTACTTCACTCTTAAGTTACTTTAAACTTTCACTCCATTTTAAATGCTTTACTTGTATCATTCATTGAAATTCACATCTCGGCAATCAATTAGCAGAATGAAACAAAAAGCCCCTTGGAAGTAATTTTTCAGGCAGCAAGTCATCCCATGCCTAATAAAAATCATTAGAAATGGTATATGACCCCTGTCCTAAACTACCCCATTAGGATGTATCAGATTTGGAAATGTACCATTCAAAAATAATCTCTTAGAAAATGTGCACATCTTTGGGTTTTATGACAATCAAGATGTTATCTGCATAACCTCTTTCTGAGAAGGGATCTCCAGCTTGGTATTTTGGCAGTTTTCCTTCCCTGCCTGACAGAAAGAGAGGAGTTATTAAGGTTTATGTACTATAGATTCTCGTTTGCTATTTGCAAATTCTGGGGCCTCATCCTCAGCTGAAAGCAGCCAGGAGAGCTTGATTAGTCCCGAAAGATGGACATCAATGGGGTACATGTCCTTTAGTCCTGGTATCCATTTGTTATTACGTCATAATTTTCTTCTTATCACTTTTTACTTTGTTCTTCACTCTGCTGAGGTGCTCACTTTGATTGCCAAGGTACTTCTGGATCAGAGATCTCTCCTTTATAAAATTGCCTGTGTTTAAAGTGGGATAAAGTTATTGGGGTGATCTGCTTCACCACTTAATTTTCAAGGTGAACATAGCAGTCTATACTCCAACATGCTCGAAGTTCATGATATTTAGATCTGACCTACATCATGATCCCAAGTGTCACATTAATAGTTTAAATCAGATCTTTGTAGAAGCATTTAAACCAATATCTGCACTTTTGAGTCCCAAACTCAAGTATTTTTCTGCCTGACTCCAGAACTGCAACTCGGTGGATGGCTTCTATGAGCGATATCCCCAGGGGCCCAGGCTTGTCATTGGCATTGTCCGCAGTGCCTACAAAGGGAATTACACTTGCATTGTGACATTCAAGGACCATGGAAGAACCTATAATCTCACCAGAACCGTAAAGATGAAGGTGGTGGGTAAGAATGACTTTAAAATGTGTAAAATGCATGTGGGTAACTGCAGAAGTGGCAAAAACAGCTGGAAGAGTTTGTTGCAGGATCCATTTGTGGTTGTAGTCAATCTGTGTTACCCAGCTGACCTGATGGTTTTTTCTTGCTGGGGTCAGACTTGTGTGGCTGTCCAGAACATACTGCAGTAGATGTCTCTCCTACCACCTTGTCAAATGCCCCAAACACAGAGAGTGGCCAGCCTCAGGCTGGTGAGGTTCAGCCCATGAGATGGCCAGGGGTACCCTCTGCTGGCATGTGAACGCATAACCTTGGCACTCCTGCTTGTGGTCTCCTATGCCCTTTGCTCATCACTGTTTTTTGGATTGTCACTTGACAGCCAGCTTGTCTTGATCTTCTTGGCATCTCAAAGCCATTTGTGCTGGGGTTGAGACTGCCAATCAGCCAGGCAGAGCTCCAGGTGCCCACTGCTTGGACACATCCATCCCAGGCACAGAGGCTCAGCCTACCTGCCAGGGAATTCTAGAGTTAAAAACCTAGTGAGCTGTAGGATACATTCTGAGTTCCACGGAAACAGTTTTTTTAAGGGTTGAAATAGATATTGGTGACACAAAATGAGGTTTGTATTTTGTTTTTTAGAAGCAGCAGTAAAAAGAAACTGGTACAGGTTATGCCTTGTGGGAGATGAGAAGGTTATGGAGCTTTTCTCATGTGAGAGGCCCAAACTACCTTACCTAAACTTCGGGGGAGCCTTAAAATCAGGACCTGGCCCTGAGTTTGTGGATTAGATATGTGTGTGCATAGAACTCTGCAGCAGGAATGCCTCACGAGTCGGACTGGGGAACGTGCAGTGCAGCACGAGGGCATCGGGAGTGAGGCTGCAAGGATTCCAGGTTTTCATGAAGTCTGGGGCCCCATGGGGGCTCTCTGTTGTCTCCTGCAGGATCTCCAAACAAGGCCTTGCCACCACAGTTCACCTCTCCAAATGAGAAAGTTGTGTACGAACTGGAAGCAGGTAAAGTCCAACACTCACAGTGTGCCAGTGGGACAGCCAGGCACAAAGCTCTCTCCTTCCACTGCATCTCTGGTGCTTTCCCTCACAGAGGACTGGAGCTGCCATGGGTTGCCTGGTGGACAGTATGGGATGCTAGTTTTTGATAGAGAGCACAGCTTTAAAAGCTGATTTTTTTGCAAGATATTCAGGTGTGATGATACAGAACTGCAGCCGCAGAAGCAGATGAAAAGGGGACACTCAGCTGCTTAGGAGAATCCCTGTAGGACCTTGTTTCAGCCCTGGCCCTGGCTGTGGTTTGCTCCCATCCTCCCTCATTCACCCCTAGAGTGGCTTTAGTATTCTAGCCAATTCTTGTTCATCTCCCCTTTTCTTGGCTGATGACTTCCTAATTAATGACAGCTCTCCTCTGCTGACCTCATATCCCTGGGTAATGGGGTACCACACCCTTTCCCTCACCCCTTCCCCCACACCATCAGTTTTGCCTAATAGCTTTTTGGAGCAATTCCCTATATCAAATGGATTGTGTCCCATTACATTGCTGTAATAAATGTGGTGGCAATGATGATGATTGGCACCAGAGTCTTCACTTTAAAGAACAGCTCTTTTGGCTCAGAAGGTCAGATTTCATCCATAGTCCTCTGTAAGATAAAATCACTTACTGATCACCAAGATATTCACACTCCCAAATCTGATCCTGGGCAGAAGTCAAATTCCTGAAGAAGTATTTTCAAACCAAAATGCTTTTGTGGAGCTTGAGCCTTCACTTTGTGGCATCTGTCCCCTGTGCAGTGGGATTGATTAACACTGCCTGGGTTTCCAAGGAATTGGTTGGCATGGAGCATGTCCCTTTGGGTGGGTCATTTCATGCACTCAAGGAATTTGTAACACATTTGAGGAGGCAGGACATCTTTTTCTATTTATCTGTCTGTCACAAATCCTCATGTCCAGGGATGTTAAGCTGTTATTACAATTTATGTCAGAAAGTGGATGTTGGCCTCATTCTTTCCTGAAGGGACACAGAGCTTAGTCTGGTAGGATTTTGGAAAGCACCAAAGTGAGGGGGGTGCTGTTCCTGCATTGCAATACCTTTTCTCCTAGGAGATGATGGTCCTTTCTTTGCAGGTGATGACCTTATCCTGCCCTGTGAGGTTTTCTTCACATTCCTGAAGGACTCCCGGACTGAGGTGTGGTGGACCATAGATGGGAGAAACACAGATGACATCACCGACCCCAAGATAAAAGTCACACAAAGGTAACATGTAATGTGAACCTTCATTTCTGATCCCCTGTGTCCTGTGTGGGTACAGGCATGTGACAGTCCTAATGGAGTGTGTAGTCTCCCTGTTAATCAGAAGCCCCTGTGTCTGCACCCTGCTGTGATGAGCACCAGGACCTCCAAGGGGGAGGCCTTCAGACCTGGACAGTGTCACATCTTACAGATGGATTTGAGGGAGATTTGTTAACCAGTTCACATCATCATTTGTTCAGGTCCTGGTTGTGATGCCAACAGCTGCTGTTGTTATGGGACTTAAAAAACAGGGGCTGACAATTCTATTTAGAGGAGTGTTCCCAAATAGCATAGGGTATAAAAGGGTTTCAGAAAAACAGAGGCTGAAAACAAAACTGTAAGATTATACATAGCATTGATTAGGAAGAATAGATATTGAATCACATAAAGAACCCAAATGAGGATCAAAGTCCCATTTGCTGGATGCTAAGTTACAAGTGGAAGGCAGTCACTGCCCCAGCTGATTTGCAAAAACCAATGTAGAAAAAAAGAAAGGCAAAAGGAAATACTGTATCCTCATTTTGCAGACGGTCAGTTCAGGCAGAGAGAGACAAAGTGACTCATCCAGGACTGCATAGGGAATGTGACGTGAGCTGTGAATCTTGAGTTCATGAGACCTTCTTGTTTATAGGCAAGAACTTCCATTTCCTCTAAAAGGCAATGTGGCACAGCTGCAATGAGAAAATTATGAGTGGTAAAATAAATATTAAGGAAAATCAGATAAAGGAATAGCTGCAGCTGTATTGCAATCTGAAGTGTATATTGATTTATAAATATCAAGTAATGTGTTTTGGCCTTTTTAAAGGAAGAGGTTATATCAGGGAAAGGAATATCTGTCACTAAAAACTTGCTGCACTTTCACATGTGTAATGCTCTAGTTATTCTCTTACAGTGAAACTACCAGAGATTTTGAAGACAAGACTCTGGTGAGGACTCTGACAGTGGCAAAAGCCACGGCGGAGGAGCTGAAGCGGAATTACACTTGCCACGCCCGGAACGCCAAGGGCGAGGAGCGCAGCCAGGCCGTGGTGCGCATGAAAGGTGCGGAGCCTGCGGGGCTGGGTGTGCTGGGGGCTCTGCTGCTGCCTTCAGCCTTGCCCTGAAAAACAGCAAGGGAGTGTCCTAGGGTGATGGTATGATGTTTATATCCCCATTCGTGTGTGCTGTTTATGATGGATATCATGTTCTGTGCCTTCAAGACTGGCTCTGAAGAGTGAAAGTTTTGCTTTGGTTTCTTATCAGCCACTCCCCCATTGCTGGCGGGACACACAGGGCAGTACATGGTGCTGCTTTTGCTTTTTTGCTTTTGCTTTTTGCTTTGCTCTCACTCTTGCTTCTGCTTTGCTTCTGCTTGCTCTTGCTTCTGCTCATTAGCTGGTTTAGCTAAACAGTCCAAATTTCTTCCTGGACTGTTTCTTCTTTCCTTTTATTTGGACCTACTTGAACCTGCTCTGGAATGGGACCTGGGAACACTGAGAGTTTGCACCTTGTGGCTGCAGCAGCTGCCCCAGCGCTGGAGGGACTGAGAACAGAGCAACCACCCCCAAGAGAGACTTTCTGAATTTGTCATCTTTTTCAGAGCGGTGAAAGAGTGGTGTCATTTGGTATTGTTCATTTTGTGTGCTGGGGGGTGCTGTGCCTGTTAAATAAAGAGGTTCTTCCCACTTCTCTCCGAGGAATTCTTCCCGAACCAGTTGGGGAGAGGGACCACATGGGTTTGCTTTCTGGAGGGGCCCTCCTTTGGAGATTCTCTCCCAAATTTGCCCTAAACCAGGACAGGGAGCAAAGAGTTCCATCAGGCCTTTCTGCCTAACACAGTCTGTTCTGTAGGCACTGCTGGCATACTGCTACATTTCTCAGAGGCAGGGAACAAAGGGCCCCCCATGGGCAAGTTCGTGGGTAGGGAAAGGACAGATCTGTTGTCCTTATCCCATCCCTGTACTGTTGAGTTTGTGAGGTTTCCAGGACAAGGTGAGAGATGAGAATCTGACTCCATGTTCTCACAAGGCTGATTTATTATTTTATGTTATTATATTAAAGAATGCTATACTAAAACTATACTAAAGAAATGATACAGACAGAAGGTTTAACAAGAATGAATAACAAAAACTTGTGACTGACTCCTCAGAGTCCAACACAGCTGATGGTGATTGGTCATTAACTAAAACAATTCACATGAAACCAATCCAACATGCACCTGTTGGTAAATGATCTCCAGCCACATTCCAAAGCAGCAAAACAGGGAGAAGCAAATGAGATAATATTGTTTTCTCTCTGAGGCTTCTCATCTTGTCAGGAGAAGAAATCCTGGCAAAGGTATTTTTCAGAAGATATGACAGTGACACTATCACAACTGAAGCTGAGGGCACAGGCTGCTTGAAATTATTTCAGGTTATTTGGTTGTGTGAGGGTTTTGCATGACACAACCTAGCAGTTGGCATCCTCCACAAGACAGTCTGCACTTGCTGGCATTGCTCAGGGAGTGAGACAGGCACACCACAGTGCTCTCTGGTTTTACTCCTTGCTGTCATGATGCTGCAGTCTAGATACAGCCACCTCAGTATGGATGGTATAGACTGATTCAGCTCTGTTCTGTGTGGGTTTTTCCAACATCTTTTCTTCATCAAGGATTTGGTTCTTGTTTCCCAGACCCACCTCTCAGTAATAAAAGCTATGTGAGGCTTCCTGATTAAGGTGGATTTTTCTGCCTCCTTATCAGCCTCGTCTAGAGCTTCAACACCTGCTTTTACTGTAAGCCAGACCTTCCCTCTCCCACAGGGAATGCTGCCATGGCTTGTGTAGCTCGCACCAGACACCTTCTTCCCCCGACTCTGCATTATAAGCATGGAAAAGCTCTTGGAGGTCTTTACTGGAAGATCTTTTTCTTCCTGGTACTTGTCCTCCTTCTATTTTAGTCTCATTCCTTTTGAGACAAACCTTTTCTGGATTGTTAGGGAGGAACAATAGACCACACACAAAACTGAGAAAGGCTGAAACCATCTGTCAGTGAGTTCCTACTCCATATATAATTTTCTGGGGTGATAATATTTGTACATGTAGCGGAAGTGAATCTGAAATACTCCAATTCTTTCTCTAAATATCAATGCCTAAATACTGTTTTCTAGTGGACTGACCTGTACTATCCTCCCTTTTCCTTCCCAGGTCTGTTCTTGGTTAGTTGACTGGATTTGCTCTGAGCAGACATGGTTACCCACCACTCCTCCTTCCTGCTTTCCTGCACAGCAAAGTCTGAGAGCCATCCCTACCTGCTGCTGGCAGAGCAGCCTTATGCTAAGCTCAGTGCAGCCCATCCCACTGCAATCCCACAGGAGCATCAGGCATGCCAGAACCCAACCCCTCAGCACCTGGCTTTTAGCAAGTGGCTCTGCGTGTTGGCTCCAACTCTTTCATTACATTACGTCATATACATTGGTTCTTCTGGATGATTTCCCTCTCCTTCTCATGTACTTCTGCTGCTCATCACCTAATGAACGACGATAAATTCCTTCCATTTTCGATTTTGTAATTCAGTTTTATTAGCAGCTTATTAAATATTGGAATGTGGTGGTGTTTCCACTCCCTGTGGTTCTGTTATTGTGCAGTTTGCCAATTTGCACATCAACTGCCACCAACAGAGTTGCCCAGGGATACAGTTAGAAATTTTCTGTCCTTAGTACAAAGAGGCAGCAGTGGTGTGACAGACAGTGCATGAGTTGGAGGGGGCCTGTGATGTTCTGGCTTGATGCCCACAGGTTACCCTGTTTGTTTGTAAGCATTTCAGCTTTTCTGTAAGGAACTCTGATTCTTCTTTAATGGTAGAAAAGAGTCAGGCCAGGGCTAGTTATATCCTGGGAATAGTTATCCAGGGCTAGTTATTGTCTGGGACAAGCCACGAGACCTGTGTCTGTTTGATTGGGAGGGAGAATGGCATCCATTGCCTTTATTTTGCTGCAGGTACTTTATCTGGATTTCTTAGAAGTCAGAGCAGTTGTCTTCCCCCAAGAGTTTGCTGATACTGCTGGGAAGGTCATCTTCATGTTCTGGCTTTGGCCTGTGCAGGTTTCTTCCACCAACAGGTCATTCTATCACCTGACTGCTCCCAGGGCCTCACTGAGAGACAGAAGTCCAGCCTGTGCCATGGACTTGCTCTGCCAGCATAACCAGAGCTGATAACCCAGAATGGGGCTCCAGGGTGGCCAGCCATCACGTGTTCTGCCAGAAAAGCCTTGGCTTGATCACCTTACTCTGAAGGGGCAGCTTGGCTCCTGGCTGTTCCTCTGTGGGGTTTGGCTGCATATGACACAAGCTTGTTCCTGCTCACCTGAAGGTCCAACCTGTTCTTTAACCCTGACCCCCTGTCTATTTTTGTTCTCAGTTGTAGCACCCAAGTACACAGTGGAGCTGGCCTGTGGCCTGGGGGCCACCATCCTGCTCGTTGTGGTGCTCATAGTCATCTATCACGTGTATTGGCTTGAAATGGTCCTCTTCTATCGGGCTCATTTTGGAACGGATGAAACCATTCTAGGTAAGGAGTTAAAATGCTTTCTTTCTTTTATTTATCCTGCTGCAGGCCCTTTATTTTCATAGAGGAGTTTTCCTATAAGCTATTTTTAAACCTCTTCACAGCATAATAACATTCTGACCTTCCATTTCTCTATCTACATGCAGTTGTGTGGGTCATTGCTTATTAGAGCAAGAGGAGTCAGGCTTTTGGCTCAGGAAAAAGGAGAAAGAAGTCCTCTGTATTCTCTGCAGAGGTGGAGCATGGACATGGCCAGGCTCCCCAGGGCCCTGCCCTGCTGATCTAGCTGTATCATCCAATCTAGAGATTGTCAAGATACATCATCAGATTTCAATAAGTCCCTTGTTTCCCTGGTGACTCTCTGTAAAGGATTCATGATCTGATCCAGAGTAATCGGCTTTCAAATGTGGGAAGGCATCCAAAAGGATGGATGTGGAAACCACCGTTCTGTCCTCAGTTCTTCCCTGTGTTACTGGGAGTTCATTGCTAGGGACTCTGAGGTGAGATTTCTCCTCTGGAGGAGGAGGAGGGTGTTTGAGCCCTTGCAGCTTGTGGTGTGAAGCTGCCACGGGGCGCGGCAGCTCTCGGAGGGTGTAGGCAGGGTGCAAGTCTCTGTCTGGTGGGGCTGCTCGTGTGGATAGACAGCAGCGAGAGGGAGCAGAGTCTGAGGTGTCAAAAGAAGCCTGGACAGAATGAGTTGGTCTGTGGGAATCTGTATTGTGGTGGTGTTCACAGGGGTGCCGGGATGAGGGAAGAGATGAGAATCTTGACTCCATGTTTCAGAAGGCTGATTTATTATTTTATGATATATATTTTATTAAAAGAAAATGATGTATTAAAACTATACTAAAATAATAGAAGAAAGGATTTCATCAGAAGGCTTGAAAGGAATAGAAAGCAATGGGATGATAATAAAATCTTGTGACTGCTCACAGCCTTGACACAGGTGGCTGTCATTGGTCATCAAGTAAAAACAATTTCACATGCTAGGTAAACCATTCTCCAAATCGCATTCCAAAGCAGCAAAACATGGAGAAGCTGAAGCTTCTCAGCTTCTCAGGAGAAAAGATCCTAACAAGGGGATTTTTATAAAATATGTCTGTGACATGACATGCCTTAACCTGCAGTGCCTGGGCTCCAAGTGAGCCTTCCTGCCTGCTTCTGTTGCAAGCCCAAGGCCCAGCATGGGCAGTCTCACAGGTGTCCTTGTGCCCTTTGTGTCCCCCCGTGCTCTCATGCTCAGATGGGAAGGAGTATGACGTGTACGTGTCGTACGCGCGCAACGCCGAGGAGGAGGAGTTCGTGCTGCTGACGCTGCGCGGGGTCCTGGAGAATGAGTTCGGCTACAAGCTGTGTATCTTCGACAGAGACAGCCTCCCTGGGGGAAGTGAGTATCTCACAGGGGGCTGTGCTCCATGCATGTCCTCTGTGTTGTTCTCTGAGGTATTGATCATTGATTGCAACGATCCTATTCAGATCATGTTTTGGTTTTTTCCCTGTCACTGTTAATGAATTCTTTTTAGTGTCTTCTAATGTTTTTGCTTCACATGACAGTATTGCAGATGCTCCTGGCCACCAAAATGGCTGCTGTGGGGATGGTGTTGGTTGTTTCAGTTGCTCTTTCCAGGAGTGTGCAGGAATGTCAGCATGGGGAACCGGAAAAACTGATCTTCATGCAAGCCCTCTGAGCTGCCTTAAAAACTTGGATAAAGTCAAGGCTAGAAGAGGCAGGGAAAGTGTTATACTTGATCAGGTGACAGAGGGTAATTGAGAGTCCTTGTAAAAACCAGGAGTGTCTACTTCAGGAAGGAGTGGAAGGTGTCAAAGCTTCCAGTGAGAAGATAATGTGCATCCCATTCACCCTCATTAATTAGGGAGTTTGTGTCTAATATGGCATACAATTTAGCTGCTATCATCAAAAGGACTTTGTTGCAGGTAGTGAGACTCATCTATTCAGTAAAATGTAGTCCTTTTTTACTGTTTTGAGATAAACCATACAAGGTTCTGGACATAATGTGTGCTTCAGAGAGGCAGGGAATCACCAAGAATGGAAGTTTGTGAAGCTGTCCAGATACACATACTTTCACTGAAGTTCCACAGCAAGGGCACAAATCTAGACAACACTCTTGATTTTTAGTTTTTTGGAGGTTGAGTTGGTTGTATGATCCTGATGCCTGTTAAAAGTTCAAAGTCCAAATTTCTGCCAGTGCAGACCGCCCTGCTTTGAATTCATGGGCTTTGGCTCAGGACCCCAAAGTTATTTTTTTTGGTGACAAAACCTGTGCTGGAAAAGTCTGTTGGAGTGTCCCTTTTGAGTAGGAACAGGAGGGACTGCTGGATTCTCAGCCCACCTACCTAAAAAGGGGAGCAGAATTAGTCTGGATTCTATTATCTTTCCCTCCTGGATTGTTGCCAGGATTTGGGAGCACCTTAAAGTTTGAGAGTAAATAAATATGTGTGTCTCAGTGAGACAGCTGCAATCCTAGTGCTGTTCCTCCTTGAAGAGAGCCTGAATGATGTGGCATGGCACCTTCCCGACTCAATTTCCTTGATGCCAGTGTCAGGCTCAGAACAGGTTTGCTCTGAGCCATTTTCACCAGATGTCCATCTCCCTCCTGTTCCCTCTGCTTCTTCTTACCCTGTTCACTTTAGAGGGTGTCATTTTCCTCCCAGCACTGCTCTCCTGGGCTCTCTGTCCCACACCTTACCCCAAAGGTTTCCATCTGTGCCCCCCTCAGTCCCTGCCAAGGCAGTGCCAGCCCTGGCACAGTGCTGCCGGAGTGATTTGTCACCGCAGTGCCATCCGTGATGCTGCTGGGGCTTCCCCGGAGCTTCTTAGCCAGGATTTGACTAATCTCCTTCTCAGGAAAGCACAGGGGCCAGGAAATAGCTTTTGGCAGCTGGTGTCATGCCTCCAGAGCGTGCATCTGTGTCATGGGTAGAGAGTTATGTTGTCCTTGATGAAGAAACAGTGGGAGATGGATTATCCCATGAGTTAGCTGACAGGAACTAATCAAATGTGCTTGACAGCTAAATGAAGCTGTCTGTCAGCATTATTTTACTCTCCATTGTAATTTCTGACCAGTCAAGAGTGTTCCCTTATCAAGGAAGTGTGGGAGATCCTGCAGCAGAGAGTACAAGCACCCGGATTCACACTTACAAGGGATTTTCACATTAATTATAGAAGATGGCCAAGGACAGTCTACCTGCAGATGTTAGAAAATTAAAGAGGATCCACAGTTACCATGACATTTCTCTAGCTCAAAGGATGTCATTTTTGGGACACTTCACTGAAAGTCCTCAGAGTCAGTTCTAAAAATGCTCTAATCTGCTTTCATAGATGACGGCAGCAGGAGCAGATGGATGAGTAACGGGAGTTAGGATGGTAGCATTACCAAACCAAATTATCCCATGAGGACACTTGGGGACAGTGTGAATACTTACTTTGTGTGGGGAAACTGAGGCAAGAGGAGTGAAGGGAGTATCCAGAGTCATTCTGGACATCTGCCAGATGAGGATGTAAGCATAGACATTCAGGCTTCCTGAAGCCTCTTCAGAGTGAGTCTTTCCCTTGAGTTCATGTGTTATGCAGCTGGCAGTTTCCCTGCTTTGCTCCAGAGAGCCTCTTTCCCCCCCTCTCATTAGAAGGCAGCTAAATCTCAGCCTGAGATCAGAAGCCCTCTTGGCCACAAGGCATCCTCACAGCACTGGGTGGTGTCACTGATGTGTAGTACAGTGACTTAGGTGTAGCTCTCTTGGTTATCTCTGTGTAGCATGGGAGGAGGACAGGCATCTATAGTGAGTCTGGAGTGATGGAGAATATGCCACTGGATGGGGTAGTGGGAACCAGCCCTGGTGTAGGAAGTCCCACCTGGAGTCACTAACAGGGTTGGGAAGCACCAGTGTAGTCTAGAGAGAGCCTCCAAGGGATTTATTGTCCCCTTTAAGAGTCACTTGCTGTCACAGCAGCAGCTCAGCAGCATGTTCTTGAGCATCACTAACCACCTCAATGTTTCTTTCTCCCAGTTGTCACAGATGAAACCCTGAGCTTCATCCAGAAAAGTCGGCGTCTGCTTGTTGTCCTGAGCCCCAACTACGTCTTGCAGGGGACACAGGCCCTGCTGGAGCTCAAGGCTGGCCTAGAGAATATGGCCTCCAAGGGCAACATCAAAGTCATTCTAGTGCAGTACAAAGCCATCAAGAAGAGCAAAGTGAAGGAACTGAAGCAGGCCAAGGCAGCCTTGAATGTCATTAAATGGAAAGGCGAGAAATCCAAGTTCCCAAAGGGCAGGTTCTGGAAGCAGCTGCAGGTGGAAATGCCAGTGAAAAAAATTAGCAGGAGTTTAAGCCTTGATGGGTTGATGCATATCCCTGAAAAATGTTTGACCCAGTCAGAAAACAAACCAAAACACATCTCAAAAGTCCACAAGTTAGGCCAGGGAGTGAGGAGGAACTCAGGGTTTTTTCCATGAAGGACCATGTCCCAAGCATTTCAGAGGATAGTCATGTTTTCCCTGCAGCTTTGATATTGCTCTGTCATTAGAAATGAAGATGCAAACACCTGCTTTCTGCAAATGTATGTCCTTGTTATCAACCACACAAGCCCTGGGCTTAAGGTTTAAATTTGCTATCTAGGTGGGATGCATCCAGCACCTTGTGATAGCATGGCCAGTACTCCTAGATCCAGTTCCTGTGGGACCTTCATTAGCATCCAGGACAGAGCTTCTTTCCAGTCCTAAGTAACTTCACTCCTTTCTGGTCCTCAGTCCCTGTTGCAGAGGCTGAGGAACAATTTGCAAGGTGGCTCCTGTGTGGAGCCTTTTTTGCATGTCCCAGGTCTGTAGTCCCAATCACTTGTGGGATCACAGACTCCTGCTGCACTGTGGGGAGCATGGAATTTTGAAGCTCCTCATCTCTGTTCCCCAAATTTCCTTTGAAGCAGATGCATCCAGATAGTTTGGCCATGGGAAATGGCTGTTACAGAAGTATTAAAAAAAACCCCACAACTGTACTGGGTGCTATTTGTATTGTAGCACATGTAGGAACAAGTGTCCCAATCTCTGGGACTCTGCAGTCTCACAGGTGCCCCAGACCCTTCAGAGCTGCTTGTAATCCAGGGAAATCTCTCATGAGTGCAGGCTGTGGAGCATGTGAGAGATGTTTATTTGTAGAGTAAACTCAGGGACTTCACAAGCACTACAAGGAACCCCAATGTACTACTGAACCTGCCTACTCTCTGTGCCACTAGCTGGGGGAAAGCATCATGCAAGGTGCTTCCAAGGTCTTTGGAATAACATGGATATAAGTACAACTCAGAAGGACACCCCAGAAACTTACTTGAATTTCCTAAAAGCTACTAATTCTGTCCATGTAGGTAAGACTGTGAGGACAGGCTGAGAAAGCTGGGGATGTTCTCCCTGGAGAAGGCTTTTTGTGGCCTTTCAGTGCTTAAAGGGAGCTTACAAGAAAAGTGGGGACAGACTTTTTAGTAGTGCCTTTTGCAATTACCCCTTTATGGACAAGGAGTAATGGTTTTAAACTAAAAGAGAATAGATTCAGACTACATTGAAGGAGGACATCTTTTACAATGAGGGTGGCAGAACACTGGCACAAGTTGCCAAGGGAGGTGGATACCCCATCCCTGGAACCATTCAAGGCCAGGTTGGACAAGGTTGTGAGCAATCTGATCCAGCTGAATATATCCCTGCTTATTGCAGGGAGGGTGGCCTTTCAAGGTTCTTCCCAACCCAAATTATTCTATGATTTTATAATGACTCTCTTCAATACCTGGTTTTGAACAACGTCGCCACTTCTAATTCAGGGTTTAGGTTTAAACTAGCTTTGACTTTACAAAGCAAGTCTCGCCCCATCTTGATTCTAGCCCAAAGCTGCAGAACAGAGAGTGTATCTCAGCTTCTGCAACATTTGCACAAAACAGAAGCACAAAACCCTGCTGTGTAGGTGTCCTTGCTTCAGCAGGAGAGGGCATGGTGAGTTAACCTCCATCACGCAGTTCATGCTGAGGAGGGGAGTTTAATCTCTCCTGTAGGACAAACCAAATCACAGTGGGGCCCTGGCATTGACTGGTGCTATGGTTCACAATGTTGTCAAATAAAACTTCAGGCTCTGGAGGTGTCTCCACACTCCTGCAGCTCTTAGTGCAAGGACCTGCCCACTTAATTGTGGACTTCAGTATTACACACACCAAGTGCATACTTATTTTTATTAGTGATGGTTGCTCCTGAGTCACCTTTGACTCATGCATTTATTCTCTTGGTGTCCAGTGGGTGAGGCATTAGCATTTATAATGGTACTATAAAAGCACTACAATTAGGAGTCTATGCACTATTCACCCAGATGAGCTGGGAGCTTTGAGGGCGTCCCAGTAAAAAGCCCAGCCTTAAAGGTGTGGGACTGGATGGTGTCAGGAAAACCTTTTGCCCTTTGCAAAAAGCATTTTATTATTAATAATGTTATTCCAGGGCTGCAGGGAGCTACAGCCCCCCATGCCCTTAGTCAGGTACTGTATGTTGTGTTTAGGAATGGCACCCCACAATTCAGGGCTCCCCCTGAAACCATGTGCCCCTCATTTCCCCCTCCCCCTTCTTCTGCAAAGCGAGGGAGAGAAGAATTGGAGGCACAAAAGGTAAAGATCCTGCCATCAGATAAGAAAAATTTACTGGAAATAGTAATGAGATAAGAAAATGAATATTAACAACAACAATATTGGTGATAGAGGGTACAAGAAATGAATAATTCCCATGGACAAACCCCCTGATAATTTACCATTCCTTCTGCTGCCTTCACTGGCCCAGCTGCGCTGTGCTGGGACCCTTTCTCTCCAAAAGAGACCCCCTTCCCTCCACCCCTTGCAAATGCAAGGTGGTGTAGAATAACTTCAGTGTCCTGGACGTGCCCCCTCCTGACTACTGCAAAAACTAACCCTGTCCTGGCTGGAACCAGGACACTGTACAGATGTCTAACAAATAGGGCTTCTTTCTTACCGTCCTCTTCATCTTTCCCACCCCAAGTAAACTTTGATTTAAGCAGGTAGAATTGCAGTCAGCTTCACTGGAGGCAGTGGAGCTCCTCATCTGCTCAGAGGTGCTTAAAAGTTTTATTATGAGCTTTTCTACTGTGGTTGTCTGTGGAGGGACAGAGCTGCTTCCCACACTCCAGAAAACTTCATTTATAAGAGATAGCACCCAAACCCGCGCTCGGCTTTGTGAACCCATTGCAACCCTCTCATTGTGCCCAGCTTCACCTTTTTGTTTGTGTTTTAAGCATCTCTGTAATCAGCTGCCAGATCTGCAGGCAGAGGGAAGGCCTTGAAGCCAAAACAGAGCTGTATTAGGTTCCATTTAATTTTTAAAAGATCAGCTCCCAAATACTCATAAATTGAATTGACATCTCAGACCTCACCACATCATATCTCACTTTTACCCGAGTTACCAAGAGGTTTTATGCTGATGTTTTAGTAAGTCTGATTATTTTAGGAAGTTAAATCCACCTCAGGTATTTTGCTGATTTTATTGGAAGAGTTGTCCAAATAATTAATAGGCCTGGACTTTCTCAGGCATACACTGCAGTCGCCTTTGGTGTCATTGCAACCCCAGAGCAGGGTTACTGAGAGACATCAGCAGAGCAGCCACAAGGCAAAAGGTGTGATGGTTTGGAAGGGGCCTGAGAGGTCAGAGGAAAGGAGCAGTGTGGAAGGAACAGTCCAGAAGCAGGTCCCACTCACCAGGAGCTTTACCACTGGCTTTGCTGGGTATTTCAGGCCAAGGGTAAAGCCCAGTCCCAACTGTAAAGCAGATGTGCAAGTGCCTCAGATATGCCTGTCATTTCATTCTATTCCACATGCAGTTTCCATTGTGGGATTCTGTCACAGCATCCATCTGAATCAGTTGATTTGAGTTTCTGTGCTCTAACCTAACATTTATCAACATGCAGCTCATACAAAGTTCCTCATTGTTTTTTCATTGGGAAACAGTGTGGCACAAATTGGAAAAAATATCTTCCCTTCCCGTGCTGTTTGATGTTGTACAGCTGTTGCAGAGTTTTCCCTTTGCTGTATGTTTTTGCCTTTGTGTGATTTGGTTTGTGAAGTGTCAGTATTATTTTATTTTGCTTTTCAATAAAACATTTTCATTTTTGCATTTCAGTCCTTGTGCATTTCTCATAAGTACCATCTTCCCATTATGTCTGCAAAATGCTGTTAAAAAAAGATGATTGTGTGTAGTCCAAGCATCAAGATCATTTGGGGCTTCTCCTTGGAATGGGACATTTTCCTGGCTGTTTCTTGCTGTGCCTGCAGAGGCACCTGAGCTCCCAGGACCACCCAAGCAGAAACACAGTGGCACACAGCACTCAGATGTCTCACAGCAGTGAACACTTGCACACAGAAAGTCTCTGATCTGAAGAGTGCTCACTTGGCAATCACCAGACAGAAAGATGGGAAGGCAACATAATCTCTGCTTTAAATATCAAATCAGAATTTTAGAAATCTGCCAAATCCACAGAAATCAAACTCACTCTCGGGCTACTTTGCCCATCAGTTTCTAGGTTCAGTGAGATTCATATTTTCTCATCCAAGTCACTTTCTTGCCCATTTCCCATGTTTGCCTGCCTGCAGGTAAGTTGAGAGACAGGCCAGCACTTGCAGACCATTAGCAAAATGAGTACCTGTGACCATCTTTGGATTTGAGGTTTATGGATATAGGATCTGTGACCATAATCCTTATAATCTGTTACATCTTTGGGGTGAACTGGGGAGACACAAGTAAACCAGTAAAAATAGGCAGTGCCTTTTGTAAACATTTAGTAAAGATGGAAGGTTTTGTAGTAAAAAGCAGATAACCAAGAGTATTGAATCCCCAGGTACCTGCAGTGTTATTGCTGCCTGTCCCATCCAGTGCTGTTTCACTGAGGGGGAAGATCCTACCTGCACACTGTGAAGTGTCTGCTCAGGATTTTTCCTGAGCTGGGTAAACATTGCAAACTGAGCATCCCAAGGTATCCTGGTCAGCCAAGTCTAAATGCATCCCTTTCTCAAAATCAAATATATCTTTGGAAATTTGAACACCTTCCTTGCAAAAAAACCCAAACAACAAGTCACAAAATAAAAAAAGACTGTCGAAAAACATGAGTGTCAAAATTAAAAGTCTCAAAAAGCGTTGCAAATTCAAAATTGATAAAAGAAAACCAGCACTGTCACCTCAATCAAAACATTTCATTTCAGCAGCATCAGAGTCATTCATGTTAATTGAACCTGGACTTTTTGAACAGGCAGGTAGACCTCCTAGGGGCTGCTCCTGCTTACATTTTGCTGTGGTTCTGTGATTCCAGTTTCAAAAAGAAAGACCTTTCAAACAGCAAAAGAGCTTTTTCTTTCACAAACTGTTGAAGCCTGGCTGTTTTCAAAATAGATTTCAATCACTTGTAGAAGAGTTTGAATGAGGTCTGGACTTAGGAATTGCTGCCAATTCTTTATGCCTTTGAAACAGGGTGGTAAAAACATGTCATGGTGGTAAGTGACAACTCTGACAGAACTGACTATCATCTACTTTTAGTTTCAATGAATCAGTGTTGTCCTGTGTGTGTTGGGGGTAAAAATCCCACTAACCTTTTTATACAAGAAGAAAAACCCCTCAAAACAATTTGATTTTAATCCCAGTATTTTATTAACCAAACAGTGCCCTACTTTCTCCATTAGCATTTTACTGTATGATCATTTTTTCTATCTGGGTCTCCACATACTCTAGTGACAATGAGTTTTACAGCTAGTCATATTCTTTGAAAAGTACTGCTCTGTACCATATTAAAATAAGGTGCATTCAGATGCAACACAGTGCACCTTTTGCTGTGAGATGAGACAGCCAAGTGCTGGGAGAATCAAGAGGCATTGCCATTGCAGGGAAGGAACAGTATTTTTATTCATATAAAGGAGCAGTGTTCCACTGTCAGGGAGAGAGGAGAGTCTCCAGCCTGAGGAATGAAGGCTTTAGCAGAAAAATGGAAGGGAAGCAGGAGGTAGCTCTTCTTCCCAGAACAGCTCTTTGAAAGACATTCCTAGAGGCAGATTTCTCTCTCTGAATTTGCAAGAGCTCTTACTCTAATGATCCTTGTCTTGCTTGAACACCAGTTTGTCCTTGGGTCCCCTCTCATCTCAGGCACCAGCACTTAGTAAGTGTATGGGTTTTTAAAGTTTTTTCCTGTTTTATTACTCAGCTTTCGTTAAATTGCTGAGTGCCACAGCCATATAGTTCCCATCCTTTCCACTGCTCACCCTTTAGCCACTACACTTTCAATATACTTTCTGTGTCCCAAGCCACAGGTAGAAGTCCAAGGACATCCTTCAGGTTTGCTGCTTTTCAAAATTGGTAATAAAAGAGATGTTGCTCTTGCCTGGCACCATTTCACCTAAGCTTCTTCCTGAGCTTTACAACTTGCAATTAATCCCAAGAAATGCTTTGAAGGACAGTATTTCCACCCCCCATCATGCTTAGGGGAACTGGTGGAGGGGTTTAAGGCTGACATTTTTGCTTTCTAAATTTGGAGGTTTCTTCTTAAAGGTGAGAGAGCATGACAGGGGCGAGATGGGTCAGCCCCTGCAGTTTGAGCTGGGACAGGATGACGTGATTGCTTTGATCCCCTAATGCAAAGAATTGCTCAAGCTGTGGGCAGGTGGTTCCCAAACAAGACCCATCCTTTATCAAATACCTGCACTTCTCTGGGCGTGACCGGTGCTGTGCAGAAGTCAGAGTACAATCATGGCATATCCTGGCTTCTCATTTACCTCCTCAGCCTTCTCAAAAACCCTCTGCACAGCACAAATGCTGCCAGCAGGAGAGTGGGCAAGTTGAAAGTCACAGAGCTTGTGCCAGGTTTCCCTCTGTGGGAAGAGGGATCTGTGCAGGTATGCCACCAAACAGCTTCCTCAGCTTTTCTCTCCCCACTCCCTCCTCCTTGTGCACCCCAACTCCTCTGCCCTTGTACTCTTAGATACCACTGAAGCCGTGTTCGACTTCATCCAGAGGAGCCGCAGGATGATCGTGGTCCTGAGCCCCGACTACCTGACAGAGAAGAGCATCAGCCTTCTGGAGTTCAAACTGGGCATCATGTGCCAGAACGCCATCGCCACCAAGCTGATCGTGGTGGAGTACAGGCCGCTGCAGTGCACCCACCCCAGCATCCTCCAGCTGAAGGAATCCGTCTCCTTCGTCACCTGGAAGGGGGAGAAGTCCAAGCGCTCGGGCTCGCAGTTCTGGAAGGCGCTGCGGCTGGCGCTGCCCCTGCGCAGCCTGAGCGCCAGCGCCGGCTGGAACGAGAGCTGCTCCTCGCAGTCCGACATCAGCCTGGACCCCGTGCAGAGGAGACGGAGCCGCTTGAAAGGACAGCCCGAGCCCCGGGGCGCCACTCCTGTGACTCTGACCCGCGCAGGGACGGCCTCGGCCTCCGAGTCCAAGGCCAAGCAGCGAGCCAAGCACTTCCTGACATGCCGGTGCTGCGGGACCTCCTGCAATGGCAGCAGCAGACACAAGCAGCAGGCCGTGGCCGAGCCCAGGTGGGACAGTCACCTCTGCAACCCGGGCTCGGGCCGGCCCCCGGCGCAGGGCCCTCAGGGCAGGGGCCGAGCCGAGCCCCCGCCGGCGCAGGGTCCCGCTCTGGCCCTCTGCCATTACAGTGACCTGTCAAACAACAACGACTTCTACGTACTCTGACCCACAGGCCGAAGCACTGCTGGTGCTGGCCCGCTGAAAGGAACTCACTGCGGCCTCAGGATATTTTTACCGTGTCACAGGCTGGCACGGTGCCACTGAGTGTCACTGCTCTGCCTGCATAGAGGACTGCAGCAATGCCACTGCTGGTGACCTGGGCCAGGGACCTGCAGCCACGCACAGAGCAGCGGCTGGGGCCTTCCTGCCCGGCTGCTTCTCCTGAATTTAAATTACAAAGTGGAGCTGAAAAGGCGTTTCTCTGGCGTTGCTTTTCCACACCGTGGCTGTGTTTGCAGCAGGGCTGCTGCAGGGGTCGGGTGCAGGAGGGCAGGGCCCCAGTGGGGCCTGGGAGGGAGGGAGCAGGGAGAACCATCCTGCTGGCAGTAACCCCTGGGGAAAGGGCAGCCTGCATTTTGCAAAGTCAAAAACTTTGCTAATGAGGGTAATGGGAGCCCCTGCCACTGCAGTTATGCGCTATGGTCTAAAAGAACTTGCTCAACAGTTTCAAGACAAGCCCTTTCTCTCGAAATAAAAATGATTTCTTTAACCTGCTGTTGTGAAAAGTTCCATAGGAACTGGTAAATGCTGTATGTTCACCAGGCAGTGCCTGGAGATGTGGTTTGCCCAAGCTGGCCGAGGTCACCTCCTGTTCCCTGAGCTTGCAGTGGGCTCCTGGGCTTGCTCCTTATCTCTGCTTCACCATATGAGGAATTTGTTCTGTCAGTTGAGAGGCCTTCCACACAGCAGGAAAGAAAACCATTACAGGGAATATGATTAAAAAAATTCTGTGAGTAGCCAATGAGCCCAGGGATAGGAGCAAGACCTCAGACGCTCACAGAAAACCTCCGGCGCTGAATCTGAGGGGTCAAAACTCAACCACACTTCATTAAATAACCAAAAGAGCCTTTGAACAGTCTCCCTGGGGCTGCTGTTTCATCAGTCTGTTGAGCTGGCTGTCAGCAGTGTTTCCCATTCTTCTCCCGCACTGAAAACTTCATTTGCCTCATTCCACATTGTGTAAGGACTTCTCTCCCTACCAAGGAAGGGTGCTAATCCTGGCAGCCAGTTGCTCACCTTCAGCTGATGCTTTGCCACGACAGATCTGCTAATACACTGCATTTGTTTCCTTTCCCTGACACCAAAAAAGGTCTCCTTCACCACTCTAGTCAGTCCAATAATTGTGTATCAGATTGACAAGTAATTATTTTTCTTCTGCCTTGAAAATATGATCTGAGCCCTTGGGCTACATGGTCTGGTGGCCTCAGGACCTGTATCTGATGGCCTCAGGTGAACTTGCTGGAGCTGTGAGGAAGAACAGGGCATGTCTCACCCATTTTAATAGTGCTGAAGTCCAGTTATAATTCATATATCACTTTCCTTCCCTCAGCAGACCCTCTTCCTCAGTATTGCCCTGACTTTTTTGTTCCTTTCCTTCTGAGATCAAGCACAGCTGACAGCTCTCCTGTTAGAAGCGTCTGTGAGCTGAATCCTAACAGCCTCCTTCAACAGACTGAGAAATAGAAACCAAAAAAACCTGGTGCTGAGTCAATCTAAATAAAACAAGGGCAACAAACCCCTACCAACTCATAGGAGTTAAAAATTCAGATACTGGAGAAGTTTCCAGGTGTGGATTTCTCTCTGATTTCCATCAGAAACATTGTAAATTGCTCAGAAAAGCTTTGTCCATATGTGGCTATTCTCAGTGATCAGATGAGAAGCAGGAATGAGATATTTGGAGAGCAAGCTGACACAGTGCAGGATGTGTTGTGAGACGTAATCAAAATGCCATGAAATTACTCCAGTTGCTTACAATTAAATGTGGGATGGTACTGTCAGTGAGTCTGGTAGTGATGAAGAGTGCAGCTACAAAATATAAATAATTTGTAATCAATCAGCCTCCAGAGTCAACATATTTGTTATTTGTTGGCATTTAATCAGCTTTTATTTATGGACTTTGCCCTTATTTGAGTGTGGTATTGTCTCGGTTGACTACAACAATGCAAAGATAGAGGAAACAGCAGCTGGAACTCCTCACAGATGCATAAAATGGCCAAATGCAGCCTTTTGGGGCAAACTGTCATCTCTTCATGAAAGAACAAATGCAAACTAGTAATGACCATTGCTTTTCCTGATGCTTCAACAGAGCCAGTGCAATTTTACCACTTCTTTTCTGACCTATCAAATGGATCCAGGGTCTTGTTTGCTCTCATAACAAATACTGAGACATGGTGGATTTCCAGTGTGTGCAGAGACCCTGCCTCCCAAGGCCCAGGTCCCAGAGGCCAAAGGCACATCATGTTGGAGGGATGTCTGAGCAAGGATATGGTAAGAAATCCTAGAACCACTTTCCACTGGTTTGTCTCTCATGCTGAGGAAGGTGTTAGAGATACCCTATATCTCATCTCAATGTCCTACTTTAGGACCAGAACAAACTCATTGCAGAGTTGAATTCTGCTCTCTGAAAATCTGTTAAAATCTGTTCATGTCCCATCTGACACCGACTGGTGCAGAGGGACTGTACTCACTGCTCTTTTCTCTGGTACCCGTGCATTTGCCAATTAAATACAAAAATGTCATCATTTCCAAAGTTAACTGGCAGCACAGTATTACAACCTCCTTCACCCCCCATGGTTCTTTCAAAAGAACAGTTCAGCAGGAGCAGAGTTAGTATATATGTAGAATTTCTACTGTATCTTAATATAAAAACACTCATACAAACTTGAATACCTACCTAAGCATGCAATGGTAGAAGGCTACCAGGTAATGATGTGCAGAGCCATTTGTACAATATTTCCACTGCTTCCTAGAGGTTTTTAAACTGTGGAAGGCTGGTGCTCTCAGGAAGACACTGAACATGGGTAACTAAACAGTTAGGGGACAGAGAGAAGCCACATGGTCCATCTCAGCATCAACTTGTCTTTACTTTAGTGACTGCAGTGACTGTCCTGCTGCCTAGGAGGTCTCTCCCTAGCAAGTGCCACTGGATGTGCCAATAATGGGCTGCTCCTCACATCTGAAATGCCAGATGTATCACTAACCTGCGAGAACTAAAAGAAACTCTCTTTCTAACATCAAACAGATTTTTATTCTCATCTGTTACACTAGATGCTGATCTCAGAGCATCTGATTTAAGTGTATTTATAGCAGACACTTTTCCAAACAATGACAAGATTGTGAAGGAACCAAGAGATGCCAGAAACAGGGGGAAAATGCTTCCAACCTTTAATCCTTGCTCCACATTTATATTTTATCTTCTGTGGTTGATTCACCACCAATATCTATGAAGGGCAGCACCACCTCTAGGATGCTGTTTGCCCTGTGTGACACACCCAGCCTAGGAGTATAACCCAGAGCCATGTCAAGCAGGGAAGGGCAGACCATATCAGGGTCTATAGGGGGATATATGTGCTCCCTGCTCACCACCCAGGCATTTGGCCTCACTGGGCATCCAAAGAAATGTGGTGCTGTTCTGGAAAAACGTACCATGCAAGCTCCTTTTGCAAAGGTGTTAATGACACATAGAGATGCTGCAGAATGGTTTACAGAAGAATATGACTTGAATTCTTTGTAGCACCAGACACAGTAATGGCCAGACATCAGGGGACACAGCATTTCCACTGATGTGCCTGTAATCAGGCTAACGATTTGTACTTCACTAAAATGTATCTGCCACAAACTCATTTGGCTTGAAAACGCCGATGAGTTTCCCAACTCATCAGTATTTGTTCAAGTGAATATTCAGCCTCAGCCTTAATATTGTCCCTGATTGTTGTGTAACGTGAGTTTTGCTTCCAGATGGGGTGATGGTTCTACTCCTCTGCTGCAGCAAAGAGACTTTTCAGGTATTTCTCTGTGGGAGTACTTGCACTCTGTTGCCAAATCATCTGACAATCCATTGCCCATGAAAAGATTTTGTTTTCCAAAAGGTTGTCTTCTTTCTCCTTGCTGTTAATAATTTTCAAACCATATGAGCCAGAGTGTCTCTCCTGTTGCCTGGGCTGAACAAGGAACTGAAGTCCCTGACCTGCAGGAATTCACTGCTTCCCACTGACTCTCTTCTTCATCCCACTGCATCTCAGTGGGAAACCGGACTTGATTGCCTGTTGTGTCCAACACATTTCCCAAGGAAGTGCTAGCTAGGGCTGAGGTGTCTCTGGGCATTCCACTGGCATGGTCTTAGATGAATTTTTGTTACAGTGCTCTGTGCCTGCTTGGGGCCAGTTCATCAGGCAAGGCAGATCACGTTGCATGCTTGGTGAAGCGGGAAATAGCAATGACAGGCAATCCTTGTTCCATCTGCCGTGGTTATTAGCAAATGATGTT